AACAGACAAGTTGCTGTCCTTTTGTTCTTCAGTCTAGTTGTGGAGGACGTTGCTTCACTGGCCCATGTTGGTATTATCATTGCGCTCTTCCCGGCTGAGGCAGATCGGTCGCTGGCCATTGGACGGCCGCTCACGGCAGCTCACAGGCAGCCCACTGTTGTTCACCATCTTAGCTGTAGAGCGTGCAGCGTCACCAGCCCTCATGTGGGATCCAAACTGGGGCCCTGCTGCTCAGAGCTGGTGTCCCAAGCCAACTCTTAACCAATGTGCCGCCACTCGGCTGGCCCTGGATGGTTCTTTTTTTTAAAGATTAATTACAGGGGGCAGGCAGTTAGCTCAGTTGGTTAGAGCACAGTGCTCATTACACCAAGGTTGCCAGTTTGATCTCCACATGGGCCACTGAGATGCACAATAAATAAATAAATAAATAAATGTTAAAAAAAGAATAAATTAATTAAAAAAAGATTAATTACAAATTGGTACATGAATTAACCCAGAAAACTTGAGAAAAAAAGTGTAAAGGCAACACACACACACACACACACACACACACAATCACACCATTCAGAAAGTCTCATCATAGTCCTCTTAATTTTCTCTCTCTCCATCTCTCTCCATATATATATATATATATATATTTTTTTTTTAAGAAATGGTATAACATAGTCTGCAATCTGCTTTTTTCACTTCAGAAGTATATGTACTTACAACTGGTTGGAATATCCACAATAATAAGCCCATATCCCAAAAAAGATAGCAGTACCTAAGCAAACATTGTTACATAGATTTTTGGACCAGCTACAATTCTTTTATGCCCCAAGTTATTCTTACTCTTTCTCTTCATCTGCTCCAGAATGGATTGGTTTCACTGCAACTGGTGTTTCCGAAAAGATGGGGACCATTTCTTTGTCACCAGCTGTGGCCATATTTTCTGTAAAAAGTGTATGACTGTGGGTGAGTGACTTTACTGTTTTCAGATTCAGGCAAAAATGTTTTTAACCTAGAAGTAATGATTAGTCATTTCTCTGTGTGACTTGGGATAAAAATCACTTAGTAGGCCAAAGGTGGTATCGATACAGTAGGAAACTGTTAATTATGGAAATTGCAGGAATCCATTAATAAAGAATGATTTAGCAAATGGAATGTACATGACTTGAGCACCCAAGGGTACTTGTCAGTGTTTTGAAGCCTGTGGTAGGGAAAGCCACGAGATTATCAGGCTGATTAGAGAAAAGAGAAAAAATAACAAATAGAATGGGGGAAAGTTTGGTTGATAACAAGAGCCATTTTTAATGGGAAGTGGTTTAGCCTCTGAAATCAATTTGATTAGAAATGATGATGGTGGTGGTGGTGGTCATACCTTTGCAGTTTAAAAAGTATTTTCACATGTACCAATTTTATGTATCTTCACCACAATCCCAGGAGGTAATTATTAGTAGGCCCACTTTACTAATGAGGAACTGGTTCAGATAGGATAAGTGATTTGACTAAGTTCTTGGAACTATTAAGTCTTAGAAATGAGACTTGAATTTTAAGTGGTATTTTTTTTTGTTCAATGCTAAAATACTTATGCAGTATGGAAATAGGCCAGAAGAGGGACTTAGGATAGGGTGCTTTGATCAGAGAAGATTTCATAGAAGAGGTGTTGCTTCAATAGAGTTCTGAATAATAAACTGGAGTTTGCCAAATGGATAGCAGGGAAGATCATTCTAGTTTAAGAGTACAGAATGTATAAAGACACACCACATCATAGAACCATAGTGCAGGGGACTACACATGGTTGAGATTTTTAGAGCATGAAAAACAAGGTAAGAAATGGTGAGAGATGAGGCTAAAGAGATAGGCAGTGACCAGATGATGGAAGGCTCTATATGCCAGGCTAAAGAACTGAACTTTATCCTACACGTCATGGAGAGCTGTGGAAGTTCGTTTTATGTTTTTCTTAAATAGAAGAATGATTTGCATTTGCTAGCTCACTCTGGCAATAATATAGAGGGAAGTCTGGGAAACACCCTTAGCCCCAATGCAAGAAGAGTCAGGTTAGATAGTCTCTGCAGAAGCTACCTAACCTCATGACTTTCATGACCCTTTCTAGTTGTCTGCTAATGTAACAAAGCTGTTGACTATGGCAACAGCAGCTCCCTTTGGAGCTGTTTGTCTCACTGAAGCATATATCATGTGATGTTTTCTCCTAACATGGCATTTATCTTAATCAATAACTAGCACCACTACTAAAATTTAAACTTACAAGGAAAGATTAGGAATTTTAATTTTCTCGTCTTTCAGAATGGGTTAATTAGATATGAGAGAAGGAGAGCTTCAAAACAAGATCCAGGAATATTTGCAAAGTTAGAACAGGGCAGGAAAAATTGGGGAGTTTCTTTTTGTTTTTTTTCTTCTTTTTTTTTTTTAAAGATTTTTATTGGGGAATTGGGGGGATGGGAACAGTGCTGGGGAATTGGGGGAAGGGGAACAGACAAGTTGCTGTCGTTTTGTTCTTCAGTCTAGTTGTGGAGGACTTTGCTTCACTGGCCCAAGTTGGCACCATCATTGCGCTCTTCCCGGGAGAGGCAGATCAGTCACCGGCTTCTGGACGGCCGCTCACTGCGGCTGGTGGCCGCTCACTGCGGCTGGTGGCCGCTCACGCTAGCTGCTGGCTACATACGGTAGCCCATGGCAACCCACTGACACAGGGGCTGCTGCCTACGCCGTTGCCGGCGACTCACAGCAGCCCAGCTCCAGGTTGAGCTGTTGTTCAGCATCTTAGCTGTGGAGGGCAGTGTCACTGGCCCTCATAATGTGGGATCCGAACCGGGGCCCTCTGGTGTCCCAAGCCAGTTCTTAACCATCGCGCCACTCGGCCGGCCCTCGGGAGTTTCTTATAGTAACTAATGGGTGCTAAGTGCGAGGTAGATGGGAAAAAAAAGGGTAACTTAAAGTTGAGATCAATGGTACTCTTTTACTCTTCCCAGTATTCTTATAAATGTACTCCAGTACTTCCTGCTGGGGCGTTAGAGCTGTCCCTCACCCACAGAAGATAATTGGGAATTTATAAAGAGGGAGATGGGTAGAGGCACAGTATGAAAGTCTTACTTGTCATCAACATACAAGTTTGGAAATACTGATTTAGAGAACAGAGCTCAAGTTGATGTCCTTTTATAGCAAGTGGTATTCTAAATTCAGTAAGAACCCTCTTTTCTTATTCTCTTGCTAGCCTACTTAACTGTTACCAGGTACTTTAGGAAAATCTTACCTCATGTCCATGAGAACCAAACATTTTTTCCCCTTTACCCCCTAGAAAAATGTTCTGTTTGTGGAGCTGCCTGCAAGCATCTGGCTCTTTCTGATAATGTAAGTTTTTCTTCCCCTTCTACAAACCATCTTATCCCATTCCTGGCCTGTAGGAAGTATACAAAGAGTATAGTTGTTGAGTGACTAAGCACTGAAATTTTTAAAAAAGAAAGAAAAGAAACAAACAAAACTCGCTGATAGTAACTATAAAAAAAAAAAAAGGCGGGAGGGACAACAGCTAGGAGAAGTATTTGTGGCTGCTGTTACAGAAACACCAGGTAAGGAGAATTAGGACATACAGTCTACATCTGGAGCAGTGGTGATTGCCCTCTTAGCAAGTGAAATGATACCAGATGCTTTAGAAGGGGTAGTTCATCCTTTGCCATGTCTACTGGTATTTTATTTCCTTCCATTGTGGATATGCTCAACGTTTGCCTCACTCTCTTCATAGCTGAAACCTCAGGAGAAGATGTACTTCAAAAGCCCTGTGGAGACAGCTTTGCAGCATTTTAGTCACATCTCTCAGGTATGAGAAACAAAGGTGAAAAAATCTGATTCTCCAGGCTAGCTCTAATTGCATCTTATTTTGTTATCAAAGGTTCTCTTTAAACTACATTTGTACACCATGGAGAGACATTGACTGCTGTTTGCTTTCTTCATTGATGATACAAATCTCAACAGTTAACTTTTTACTGACCCAGAATCTATGATAGGCTATAAAAACCGCAATGTAGCTGACATCTTGCTTTGTACGTCCTAGTTCTATTAAGTAATTTTTAAGAATGTAGAAGGCTTTAAGGAGTTTTATTATCTTTCTGTGCAGATTAATGAATCTTCTGAAAATTGATTTAAATATATAGGCCTGACTCTGCAAACAATGGATTTAGTAGTCTCTCAACCTTTTGCTTATAGACCTAAGTTCAAGATGGAGTTCTTGTTTCCCATTTTCATTTTTCAATAATCTTTCTTAGTAATGCATATATATTTAATTCTTCATTTAGTGTTCATAATTGGTTGCCTGCATTTTAGAAAATATTTTTCTTTTCCTGATGCATCATATGTTGGCATACAATTGAGTTGGTCAGCAACAATAGACATACAGAAGCTGGAGAGAAGGCAGGACAACTGTTTGAGAGAGTTCCCAAATTGTAAAAGCTTTGGTTTTTCCCTCACACTCTCCAGTTCTTCACTGAAATTATTTCATAGCCTAATGGGATTTCTATCTTGGTATGTTTCTTGAGATTTTATCACTATTCTTTTATTCTTCTCATTCTTAGGAGAGTATCCCTTTCCTAAATATGAAAAGGAGCCTTAGTAATTTTCTGGCTGAAGATGGTAGATTTAATTTTTCTTTGGTGTATCACTCTTCATTTCTAACTGTCAAGATAGAGAGGAAGGGGAATTGAGGCTTTGGCTGCATCCTGCTCTGAGCTGCTTGAGTGAACCATCATATTTTAGATACTATTTAACATTAAGGGGAGATAAAATCCAGCTGAGACTGAGAGAGAAATGTAAACAAGATCACATGAACAAGAGAAAGAGCAGACCTTTGGTTAATAGCTAAACCCAGGATTGGTTAATGATTAGTAGAGAAATTATATGTAGCCGGAATCTTACCCTACCTAATCATGGGGCCAATTACACATGGTCAAATAATCAAGATAAAATAAATGGAAAGGGTCAGTTAATCATCACTTTAGTGAAGGGCCAGTTTGGTGAAGTCAGCAATGTCTGAAAATGTGTTTTCCTAATTTGTGAAGTTGAATAACTGATCCAAGTAATATCTAGATTGCCTCGTTCAGGCTTCTGCTTAAATTTTCCTTTCTTAGTCAGACCTTTATTGACTCTAATATCTGAAATAGTGGGTCCAACACTTTCTGTGCCTTACCCTGCTTTATTTTTCATCATAGCTCCTATCTCAAACATTATATATTTGTTTACTGTTTGAATCCTGCACTGGAATGTAGTAAGCTCCACGAAGGCAGAGATTTGGTTGGTTTTGTTTATTGTTGTATACCAAGATCTTCAGATAGCTCTTAACATGTAGTGGACACTCAAAAAATTGTTGAATGAATGAATGAGTGGAATGTTGATCTAAATATCGATTTGTGTTTTAATCATCCCCAATCTTTTTAATGAACTGACAAGGGCATTTTTCTGCTGTACTACTCTATGGCCAATAGTTGATCAAACTCTCTGTTTTGAATTCTCTACTCACCTCTAGATAAAACTATCTATCTTTGAGGATTGGAAAGCCCCATATGGACCTGTTAGCTTTCTTCTGTTCCCAGGTCATAGACTGCATGCACCCTTATCCACAACTAGCCATCTTTCAAATGTATGCAGTAATTGTTCCTTCTTTGGTAAAGCCTTCTCTGATTCCTATAGGCAGATTTTTGCTCTGTCCTTTGTACTCCAAACCCACCTTGCTCTTAACTATGCAAAAGCACTTAACTCTGAAAAAGTGTTTTTAATTTATTTCTTCATATGTCTGTTTCTCTCACTAAACGGAAACTTTTGAAAGTCAGGCATCATCTTTGCATTGCCCAATACCTAACCAGGCACCTGGCACAAATTAGCTGCATAAGAAATGTTTGTTAAACGAATGAATGAACATTAAGGTTGGGAGGGAGGGAGAGAGGAATGATTCAAGGTGAAGTCAGAGAGACAGGCTTGATAGTATAGGGACTTGTAGGCCAAGGTAAGGAATTTAGATTTTCTTCCAAGTGCAGTGGGACACCATTGAAGTTTTTTAAGCAAGGAATTGGCATTGTCTGACATATAATTTTAAAAGAGAATCTGGCTGCTGAGTAGAGACTGAACCATAGAGAAGTTAAGAGTAGAAGCAGGGAGACCAGTTAGGAGGCTCTGGGAGAAATCGAAGCAAGACTGCTTGGGCTAAAGTGCTGGCAATAGAAATGGAGAGGGGTAGTTAAACCTGAGATATGTTTTCTAGGAAGAACTAGTAGAACTGCTATGGATTTGGATGTGGAGGATGAGAAAAAGAGGAATCAAAGAAGACATCTGGGTTTTTGTCTTGAACACCTAAGAGGGATAATTGTACACTTTACCAAGACTGCAAAGACCATTTTGAGGGAAAATACCATTTTGGACATATTAGGTTATAGATGCTTGTTAGAAATCCAGGAGGAGAAATCATGAAAGGCAGAAAAATTTCCCATTGTGGAGCTCAGGACACAGGTCAAGGATAGAGATAGACGCGTGGAACTCATCAGGATATAGATAGTTTTTAAAGCCTTGGAACCAGAGAAAGAGTGGCTTCGATATCCAGTGATTAGGTACAGGAGAAGAAATGTTAGCAAAGAGCAGCAAAGAGAGAGGTGAAAATAAGGAGAGTGTGGTGTCACAGAAACTAGGAAAGGAAAATTGTTTCAAGAAAGAAGAAATAACCAGCTGAGTCACATACTATTGAGAGACGAGATGAGGGCAGAGGAAGGTTGACTGGATTTGGCAACATGAGGATTGGTGGTAACCCTCACGAGAACGTGGTGAATAAGTAGAGTCTTGAGAAAGAGAACTACATTAGAGTGCAATGACGGGTGTGTCTATACTCAGTCTACTTCACCTCCCAAGCCTCTCCTCAACCCACTGCAGTCTGGCTTCAGACTATCTCATTGACACTGCCCTTGCAAGGACATTGATAGCCTCCTTGTTATCAAATCCAGTGGATACTTATTTTTGATTCGTACTGCAATTTCTCAGCAACAATTGAGGCCCAGTTTCTCCTCCTTAAAATATTCTTTCTTGGGGCTGGCCGAGTGGCTCAGTTGGTTAAGAGCACGAGCTCTGAGCAACAGGATCACTGGTTCGATTCCCACATGGGCCAGTGAGCTGTGCCTGAGCTGAGTTGCCACTGAGCTGCCAACAGGTGGCAGGATGGCTCAGCTGGTGAGAGCATGTGCTCCTAACAACAAGGTTGCTGGTTCAACTCCCACATGGGATGGTGGGCTATGCCCACCCACAACTAAGATTGAACACAGTACCTTGAGCTGAGCTGCCCTGAGCTGCCTATGGGTGGCCAGATGGCTCAGTGGTTAGAGCCTGTGCTCTTAGCAACAAGGTTTCCGGTTTGACTCCCGCATGGGATGGTGGGCTATGCCCACCCGCTACTAAGATTGAAGGACAACAACTTGGCTGTTCCCCTTCTCCAATTCCCCAACACTGTTCCCCTTCCCCAATAAAATCTTTTTAAAAACATACATACATATATATATATGTATATATATATGTAAATATATATATATATACATATATATATATATATATATATATATATATAAACTTTCTTTGGCTACTGTAATCAACTTCTGTTTTCTTTTTTGTGTTCTTCTTCCTCTATCTCTTAAATAGCTATATTTCTCAGAGTTCTATACTAGATATTTTCCTTAGTTTTTGTACTCTATATGGATAATCTCATCCACTCCCATGCTTCAGTTATCGTCAACATATGGATGACTTCCAAATCTATTATCTCCAGTAAAGATCTAAGCTTAAATATCACCTCAGAGAAGCCTTTGTTGATCACTATCTAAGTTAGGTCTCCCCTTTACTCTCTGTCATAGCAACCTTTTTGTTTCCTTAATAACACTTGGATAATATGCAATTTTTTAATGTTATTTATTATATGCTTCATAGACTACAGGCTTCCGAGAGGCAAGGACCAACTTTGTTTTATTCATTGCTGTATCCCCTGCAATGATTAATTTTGCTACATAGGAGGCACTCAGTAAATCTTTGCTGAATGACTGAGAGCTCTCTCTTTCTTCTCTCTCTCTCTTTCTCTCTCTCTCTTTCTTCAGAGCCATATGTCCATTTGCTCACTTGATATCTTCACTAATTCAACATGTCTCAAACTTAACTCATTATTCTGAACAACCCTCCATCATGCCCACCCCCCACATAAACACAGGAAAACAGGCTACTCTTCCTGTTTTTATCATGGTGAATGATGACCACCATCCACATAATGACCAAACTAAATCTAGAGTCATTCTTGATTTCTTTTAAAATTATTATTATTTTCAATTACATTGACAGTCAATATTATTTTATATCATTTTCAGGTGTACAGAATAGTGGTTAGACATATAATTTACAAGGTGATCTCCCTGACTAGTCTAGTACTCACCTGGTATTATATATAGTGATTACAATATTATTGACTATATTCCCAATTCCATACTTTACATACACACGACTATTTTGTAACTATTAATTTGTATTTCTTAATCCCTTCACCTTTTTCACCCAGCCCCCCAACCTTCCTCCCATCTGGCAACCATCAATTTGTTCTTTGTATCTATAAATCTGTTTCTATTTTGTTTGTTTATTTATTTTGTTCTTTAGATTCCACATAATAAGTGAGATCATATGGTGTTTGTCTTTCTCTGATTTATTTCACTTAGCATAATGCCCTCTAGGTCCATCTGTGATGTTGCAAATGGTAAGATTTCATTCTTTTTTTTTTCTTTAGATTTTTATTGGGGAATTGGGGGGATGGGAACAGTGCTGGGGAATTGGGGGAAGGGGAACAGACAAGTTGCTGTCGTTTTGTTCTTCAGTCTAGTTGTGGAGGACGTTGCTTCACTGGCCCAAGTTGGCACCATCATTGCGCTCTTCCCAGGTGAGGCAGATTAGTCGCCGGCTTCTGGATGGCTGCTTACTGCGGCTGCTAGCTGCTCACGCTGGCTGCTGGCTACACACGGTAGCCCATGGCAGCCCACTGTCACAGGGGCTGCAGCCTACGCCGTCGCCAGCGACTCACGGCAGCCCAGCTCCAGGTTGAGCTGTTGTTCAGCATCTTAGCTGTGGAGGGCAGTGTCACTGGCCCTCATATGTGGGATCCGAACCGGGGCCCTCTGGCGTCCCAAGCCAGCTCTTAACCATTGTGCCACTTGGCGGGCCCAGATTTTATTCTTTTTTATGGCAGAGTAATATTCCATTGTATATACGAAGTCTGACAGTTAAGTTTGTGAACTCATCCTAGAAAAAGTGCTACATACCTCAATGCTGAATATCACTATGGCCACCTTGAAGTACTCCCATTGGGAAGCTATGCACCGACGCCAGTGCTTAGTCCACCCTTTAAAGCAATTTTGCAGCTCTTTTTCTGGAATGGCCATCAGAGCTGTTGTCGTATTACCCTTGATGTCCTGAATGTCATCAAAATGTCTTCCTTCCAATAGTTCCTTTATCTTCAAGTAAAGAAAGAAGTCATTGGGAGCCAGATCAGGTGAGCAGGGAGGGTGTTCCAATACAGTTAGTTGCTGACTGGCTAAAAACTCCCTCACAGACAGTGCCGTGTGAGGTGGTGCATTGGCGTGGTACAAAAGCCATGAATTGTTGGCAAAAAGTTCAGGTCATCTAACTTTTTTTTTTTTAAGATTTTTTTTTAAATTGGGGGATGGGAACAGCTCTAGGGAATTGGGGGAAGGGGAACAGACAGTGGCTGTCCTTTTGTTCTTCAGTCTAGTTGTGGAGGACGTTGCTTCACTGGCCCAAGTTGGCACCATCATTGCGCTCTTCCCAGGCGAGGCAGATTAGTCGCTGGCTTCTGGATGGCCGCTCACGCTGTCTGCTGGCTACACACGGTAGCCCATAGCAACCCACTGCAGCAGGGGCTGCAGCCTATGCTGTTGCCGGTGACTCACAGCCACCCAGCTCCAGGTCGAGCTGTTGTTCACCATCTTAGCTGTAGAGGGCAGTGTCACTGGCCCTCATGTGGGATCCGAACTAGGGTCCTGCTACTCAGAGCTGGTGTCCCAAACCAGCTCTTAACCAACGCGCCACTCGGCCGGCCCTCATTGTGATTTTGATTTGCATTTCTTGGATGACTAATGATGCTGAGCATCTTTTCACATGATTATTGGCCATTTGTATATCTTCTTTTTTTCCCCCAGAAGCTAGGAAGTGTTTATTTACTAATGGTTATAAACTGAGATAACACAAAATAACCAGAATCTGTGAGGATATAATACAGTTACAAGATGAATATGTGCACAACCAAGAATATCAGAAAGAATGGATAATAACTACTCTGGATTCTGCTGCTAATAACTTTCTTTGGGGGGGGGTGTCAAACAGTGTTTATTAAATGTAAAGTAACCCCAGCCCCATGGGGAAGAAAGTTTCAAGGAAAACAGTTCTTAGGTAGGTTATTTATTACCTAATCTATAAAGTAGATTTAGTTCTTTGCAGTTCTTTTATATACCATATAGTTTCATAACTCTGTGCCTGGAATGCCTGGCTTCCACACTCTGATGTCTCTTAATCATTATTTCTTACTTTATACATACTTCTGTTCGGCATATCACCTGTGTTTTATTTATTGGTTCACACGTCTGAGTGTCTCTTTTACTATACAGTGATGAGCTACCGAAGGACAAGGACCCATACTATTCATCTTAGTATTTCCAGTTCTATGTATCCACCACCTTGCTTCACCAATTATCAGCTCATGGCTAGTCTTCCTTTATACCTACTGCCACCCCATCCAGATTAGTTTGAAGCCAAAACCAGATATCATTTCAATTTGTAAATATTTCAGAGTGTGTGGGGACTCTTTTCTTAAATATAATAATGTCATGCTAAAATAACAATTCCCTAATATTGATTAATCAGTCAGCATTCACATTTCCCCAGTTGTCTTGTAATTATTTTAAAACTTTGTTTGAATTGGATTTCAATAAGGTCTATATAGTTCAGTTGGTTATATCGTTTACATTTCTTTTAAACTATAAGTTTCCTCTCATTTCTTATTATTTTCTAAGAAAATGGTCTTTTGTTCTGTTGAGCTGTTCACAGCTCTGTGGATTTTGTTCATTAGATTCCCATGGAGTCATTTAATATGTTCATCTGTACTTTGTGTTTCCGTTAAGTTAATGGTTAGATTTAGGCTTAATCAGAATCATTTGACTGAAGGGCTGGGAGGCAAGAATACTTTATAGCAGTGTTGCATTCCACCAAGAGGCAAGTAATGGTCTTTTGTCTCTTGTTTTGTGTGATGGTAGCCATTGATGAACTTTACATTGATCCATAAGTCATTAGGAGTTGCAAAATGCTGATATTTTAATTTTATCATTCCTTTCTCATTGGAATATGTCTGTAAAGAGAAATTTCCTTTTCTCAACTGTATGATTACCTTGAGGTATAATTTTAAAATACTAAGACCTTTAGATATTATGGAATGAAGGAGTCAGCTTCACAAAAGATATATAAGGCAAACTAATAGGTTTTGAGTATCAGTGGGAGATAGTGATCTTACCAATACCCTTAAAGTAAATTTCTAAAACTTAGCAACTCTTTTATAAATGTTCAAAACATTAAAATTTCATGGGAATATAAATCTTCAACTAAAAAAAGAAACTCTGACATTTAAAAATAAGAATTAGGAAAGCCATTCTTTAGTACAAAAAATAGTCCGTCTAGCTAATATTCATTTCCAAAATATATATTACTTTTACAAATAAACAAAGCCACTTTTTAAAAGTAAAGCAGTGACATGCACACCCCACTTTGGACCAAATATCTTGAGCTCCCGCTTTGCTTCTATTACGGTGCCTCTCTCAGTATTTTTCAGTGATATCTCCCTTACTTTCTCCAATCTCTTGCCATTACTGTACCTAATTCAGAACTGAAGTTTTAAAATACTCTCTTCAGCAAATAAAATAAAATTTATGTTTCATGTTATCAATTCTAAAATGATTGGAAATCCTAATGAAGACCAGGATACCCTTACCTTCTCCTAGTATAGAGATATAGGAGAGGAATCTGGGTCTAGAAGTAGGTAGTTTCAATGCATTGTTCCAATAAAATAAACAATATTTAACACTTGGAGATATTCAGACAGTGTTTAGTGTTGTCAACAGAATTACTTTTATTATTATCTGCTCTATGTTATTTTATTAACAAAATAATCCCAAGTTAAAAAAACAAAAACAAAAAAAAACCAAGTGAGCAAAATTAATGAGTTTGCTAACAATTAAGATTTTTTTTTTAATACTGAGATTCATTACTGAGTTAGGTTTTAGAATCTTCTTTGGTAGATGCATTTGAAATAGGCTAAACATTTGTACTCTAGGATTGGGCCAAATCACTTGTTCCTCTCTGCTAACACTTCCTGCAGGTGGTTGTTTTTTGGATTGGTCTTTCTTTTTCTTGGAATGATCAGATCTGAGATTTGGTTTGAGTTTTTGGGGGTTAAGTAGGCATTGTAGGCTTGCTTAGGCCTAGGCAAAAGGCCCTTCAGCACTCCAGTCTGGCTCCCTGGAGTTCCACAGTGGGGTCTGTTCCCAAAGGAGAACCAATGTAGGGCAGGATTTGGCTTTTCTTGGCCATAGCCTGATACTAACTTAATTTCACTGCAAACTGATCCTAAGTGGAGGTTAGGATGTTTGGGATACTGTTTCTTGGCTGCATATTACATCTATTTTAATATCTATTGTTTCCCCTACCTCCATCATTTTAGGTAACTCTCAGGATTCTGAGTGACTTTTTTTTCTCCTTCTGCACTGTTCAGATTTTCTAAAATGAACATGTTTTACTTTTATTGAAAACAACTACAAAAAAAATAGACTACAATGAGTTCTTCTCTATCTAGAACTAGTTTAGTTTGCTTTAAGTAGAAAGGAAAGAGGCTAGAGACTATATAAACTCTTAAGTACAATTCTGTGGTAAGGTGGCAAAAGCAACTTGCAAATTAGGTGAGAACAAAAGTTAATGACAAGAATACCAAGATCTAGGGAAGGACCTTAGATAAAAGGTTTATAGTCTTGAGTAGGAAGGAAGCAGATGAGACATAAATACTGCTGTGTATTCAAAAGTGGAGCCTGACAAAGCTGAAACCCTTTCTAATTATTAACTTTTGATCTCATTCAGTAATCCCATGATAGGCACATCAGTATATCAGATGGTAACGCAAAAGATCAAATTATTTGCCCAGAAATGAAATTCAGAAATAGGTAATCCCTTTCTATACCTTTTTGCCCATTACTGTAACAGCATAAGCAGTCTGTAAGTGCCTCTGTGTGAACATCTTAGGGAAAGTAAACTGGTTAATAGTGCTCTGGAATGTGGAAGCTGAGTCCAAACTAATAAATTCAAACTAATCTGATAAGTTAAATCCAAACCAATTTAAGCTTGAAAACGTTTTTTGGGTGTCACTCTTCTTGTTCAAGATGAAAGATTTTATTTTTAAAGGGCCCTTCTACTGTCAGAATATTCCCATTAGAATATTAGGAAATCATTGTCCTGGAAATGAAAAGCTTTGGCTTTCCCTGGCATTGAATCCTCTAGTTTTGGAAAGTCATGAATTAGGCCAGATGCTCCAGAAGAAAATGATCAGTAATAAAGTACAAATTAATGGATTTCCCTTTGTTGCCAGAAGTAAGGGGAAAGGAGCTATGGGGGTATTTATCAAAGGTCTGTTTTTTCCGAGTAGGTGTGGAGTTTCCAGAAGAAACAAACAGATCTCCTCATCGCCTTTTATAAGCATAGAATTACAAAGTTAGAAGCAGTCGTGCTGGAGGCACAGCGAACAGTGACCAGCCAGGAAAAGTAAGTAACAAATCAAATCACCAGAGAGGTTTTTTTTTTTCTTTCAGAGAAGCTGTTGCCCTTAATTCCTTATGGTAGCAAAGCCTGAAAATTGCTCCATGTGTGTTTATGTTTGTCTTGGACAAAATCAGGTACAGAATTCTTTTTTTTTTTTTTTAAAGATTTTTATTGGGGAATTGGGGGAAGGGGAACAGAAAAGTTGCTGTCCTTTGTTCTTCAGTCTAATTGTGGGGGATGTTGCTTCACTGGCCCAAGTTGGCACCATCATTGCGCTCTTCCCTGGCGAGGCAGATCAGTCGTCAGCTTCTGGACGGCCGCTCACGCTGGCTGCTGGCCGCTCACGCTGCCTGCTGGCTACACACGGTAGCCCATGGCAACCCACTGCAGCAGGGGCTGCAGCCTATGCCGTTGCCGGCGACTCATGGCAGCCCAGCTCCAGGCTGAGCTGTTGTTCAGCATCTTAGCTGTGGAGGGCAGTGTCACTGGCCCTCATATGTAGGATCTGAATCGGGGCCCTCTGGCGTCCCAAGCCAGCTCAACCAACACGCCACTCAGCTGGCCCCAGGTACAGAATTCTTGATCCCCTCAATCTCCATTTTGTTTTTCTATTTCTTCCCTCAAGGGGCCCACCTCACTTTGTGGCTTTCCTCTTCTGTTTCCCCCAATCAAAAACTGCTTTTTGGGCTGGCTGAGTTGCTCAGTGGTTAAGAGCGAGCTCTGAGCAACAGGGTTGCCGGTTCGATTCCCGCATGGGCCAGTGAGCTGCACAGGAGCTGAGCTGCTGCTCAGCTGCCAACAGGTGGCAGGATGGCTCAGCTGGTGAGAGCATGTGCTCCTAACAACAAGGTTGCCGGTTCAACTCCCACATGGGATGGTGGGCTATGCCTCCCCACAACTAAAATTGAACACAGCACCTTGAGCTGAGCGGCCTTGAGCTGTTGATGGGCGGCCGGATAGTGATTGGACTTGGGGCTGAGCTAGCTGCACCCTCCACAACGAAGATTAAAGGACAACAACTTGGCTGCTCCCCTCACCCAATTCCCCAACAATGTTCCCCTTCCCCAATTCCCCAATAAAATCTTTTAAAAAAACAAACAAACTGCTTTTTCAGAGAAATCAGACATAGCTTTTTCACAGCATTTAAAATGTTACCTGTAGGAGGGTATATTTTGGAAACTTTAAGCTAAAAGATGGAATCCTTGATGGAAATTTTCAGACATCAGCAGGCCAGGCTGTGTGTGGAGAGGAAATGGAATTCTATGTAAACTCCTCTGAAATCATACCAAGTGACTGCTTATTTTGTCCACCTGATTCTTCTCACCATCAAAAACCCTGCCATTGTCCCCCTAAATCACTAGGTCTCTGACAGAAATACTCTGCATTTCAGCATCTCTCTATAAGCATTAAATAGGTGTTAATAATAATAAAAATCAGGGCCGGCCGAGTGGAGTGTTGGTTAAGAGTTGGCTTGGGACGCCAGCTCTGAGCAGCAGGGCCCCGGTTCGGATCCCACATGAGGGCCAGTGATGCTGCGACCTCTACAGCTAAGATGGTGAACTGAACAGCTAGACCTGGAGCTGGGCTGCCGTGAGTCGCCGGGGATGGTGTAGTCTGCAGCCCCTGCAGCAGTGGGCTGCCGTGACTTACCATAAGTGGCTGGCAGCCAGCATGAGCTGCTGTGAGCCACTGTGAGCAGCCGTCGAATGGCCAGCAAGTGACTGCCTCACCTGGGGAGAGCGCAATGACAATACCAACATGGGCCAGTGAAGTGATGTCCTCCACAACTAGACTGAAGAACAAAAGGACAGCAACTTGTCTGTTCCCCTCCCCCAATTCCCCTGTAAAATCTTAAAAAAATAATAATAATAATCAGGGGTTTTATCCTGCTGACCTGCTGGAACTGATTGTTTCCATCTTTTGCCTAGAGAGCTGTCAGTCTTAAGGAAGGAGAATGAAGAACTGAAGAAATTTCTAGCCATCCTGAAGGTGAATTAAATGGATTTTCCTTATTATTATTTTCTCTCCTCCTTTTCCCATCTATCTAGCAGGCTGAATAGAATAGTGTTTCCCAACCTTTTTCACAATATGGCATATACAACTGATAATATTTGTACAACAAGCACACGGTAGTAAGTGGATGAGGCCACAGAAGACCTTGGAGGGCTGAAAGGATCAATATCTAGGACACTGGTAGCCCATTCTCGAACATCCATGAGTTACAACATACCATTTGGGAATCTCTCTTATAGAAGAGACATCTGTTGTAACTTAAAATTTCTCTTTAAGAATCCCAAGGCATCTCAGGACCCTTCCCCTCCCTCAAACTCTATTTCCTAGACATTTCTCTCTTCCTAAAAATGTTCTTTGTATTTATATACTGTTCCTATTGATCCTACTCCTATAACTATTCTAGCACATTGTAATCCTGTCACTTTTCTTTCTCTCCTCATATTTCCCCACGTATATCAGTCTTCAGGATTCCCAGTGTATTTTTATGAAGAGGAACTAAAATTGTGTTTCTCCAAAGTTAAAAATTTCCTAAGGAAACACTGCTGCTATTTTTTCTCCTATTGGAAATCTTAGCAACTACAACTAGTGGACATTACAGCTTAGTTACCTAACAAGTAAGGTCCATTGATTAGGACCCTTGAGCTGCAGCTTGCTTCAGTCCCATTTTTTTCACCTACAGGAATCTACAAGTTCATACCAAGGAAGCAGGTCAGTTTTATCAGGTTCCATACTAGCCCTCTTTGAAAATTTCTGTTCTTTCTTGACTCTTGGCTATAACTTCTGTGTGGGCTATGAGGTGGAGGAAATGGTTGATGAACTTATCTTTCACTTTTCCAAGAAAGAGTTACTCACTGAAAAGTGATGAAGTAAAATATTGAATGTAATGCTCAACTTTGACCTTATGAAATCCTATCATCCTTCAAAATTCAGTTCACGTGTCATTTCTCCTGTGAAGACTTCATTAGGCAGAGTTAAATGGTCTATTATTCATTCAATAAATATTCATTAGTGACTACTGTTTATCAGGTGCTAGGCATACATCACTACTTTAATTGGTAATGTCTGTACCATACCAATTGTTAAATTTCTTTTTAAATAATAAATTCGTGCTTTTTATTTTTATTTCTTTTTAAAGTTTTTTTTTTTTAATTGGGGAATTGGGGGATGGGAACAACGCTGGGGAATTGGGGGAAGGGGAACAGACAAGTTGCTGTCCTTTTGTTCTTCAGTCTAGTTGTGGAGGACGTTGCTTCACTGGCCCAAGTTGGCACCATCATTGCGCTCTTCCCAGGCGAGGCAGATCAGTCACTGGCTTCTGGATGGCCGCTCACAGCAGCTGTTGGCCGCTCACGCTGGCTGCTGGCCGCTCACTCTGGCTGCTGGCTACATATGGTAGCCAATGGCAACCCACATCAGCAGGGGCTGCAGCCTAAGCCTTCGTCAGCAACTCATGGCAGCCCAGCTCCAGGTTGAGCTGTTGTTCAGCATCTTAGCTGTAGAGGGCAGTGTCACTGGCCCTCATATGTGGGATCCGAACCGGGGCCCTCTGGCGTCCCAAGCCAGTTCTTAACCAACGCACCACTCAGTTGGCCCCAATTGTTAAATATTTTTAATATCAGCCTTGTATTGGATTAAAAAAGACATGGTCCCTGCACTCACAGAAGTTACAGTCTAGTGTTCTTTCATACTTCTATACTTCTGATATACCCATTATAACACTTAAACATTGCTTTATTTACTTTTTATCTCTCCCATTAGCCTGTGAGCCTCTCAAATATAGGAATTAAATTCTAGTTATCTTTGTAATCTCAGTTTCTGTGATGTATAAACACTAAATAAGTGTTTGTTGGCTAGATGGATGAGGGGATAGAGAGTGTGAGGGAATGATAGATGTATAAATGGATGGACAGATAAATATATGTAAAGTTAAGAGTACTCAGTAAGGCACTGAGGGAAGAAAGAAAGGAGGACTTCAAAACTTCTATTATGGGCAGTAAAGAAGGGAAGAAGGTTTCACTTAGGGAGTTGAACAGCCAAGGAGTCTCATGAAAACTGCCTCCATATTTTGGAGTAATACCTGTTAATAAATAATAGTAAGAAATTTGTGCTCAGAGAGGAAGCTATTATTTCTAAAAACAATGATCTGACTTATCTGATGTGGCACTTAACTTCTACTTAAAGATATTAGAGCTGCCTTTTTTTTTTTCTTTGCAGGTCAACCACACCTCGACCAGTATGCATTACTTCCCCTTCACAGTTAGGTAGAGAACATTTTTTGCCAAATATCTATGTGAGATGATTAAATATCCTCTTCCCATATGGAAAATGGCTTCCTCTTAGAGACTATAATGTGATTTTCCTAATCTTAAGTATGATATGAAAAGATCATACAACCAGATACCCACTTGCAATAGATTGGCTAGGCAAGGCAGAGCACACTATTGATGGCAACTTTTCATTGTGCACTTTATTCTTTTTCAGTTACTCCACGACCTAGTTCTCAGCATAGCAGCCAAGTGGTCAGGTGAGTAGAAAACCTATACAGGATCATTAAAACTGTTGGCAAGAGTTGGAAGATGAACAAAATACCTCAATATGGCAGAGCTAGGGACTGAGGAGACTTTAGGTCTGTATAAAAGTTTAACACCAGATTTGCTTGTTTGTTTGTTTTTTCTTTTTGTCTCACCTTATACAGTAGGTCCTCTTCAGTGGAGTCTATCCATTATAGAGTGGCCGGCTTTAGTAGTGTGGGACAAGTAAGTAATAGTTACCTTCTCTTTCCAGATTGAGATTTCTAACACTAAATGAAAGCAAAGATTTAAGGCGAGAATATTAAATTTACGTTGCTTTTAGCATAAATTATCTGATGCCATGCCTGGACTCTCTTTTCTTTTGGCAATGCAGACCTTTTGTTAGAAGCTGACACAGAATAAATAGGGAAGTGTTCAAGGACTAAATTAACAGTGTCCATCATGTTCATTTTGGAAGTACTAAAGTGTGGATCCTTCTTGGACTAGCATAACCACTTCGGGAGAACAAAATATGCTTCAATGTGTAGATGTAGAGCAAAAAATGAATATGGAAGCCAGAAAACCAGGATATATTTTTAATTGATGTTTATTATTTGTCCATCAGGGAACCAGAGGCCTTCAGGGAAGGAGCACTCCCAGAGACTCTTATACTGGTGAGGGGAGCGGAGAGGGAAGAATGTGTCAGAAACCAACGTATTGTATTCATACACCATTAGATTTCTGGTTTTCTGTGCATAGTATAATGCCATTTTACTTCGTTTTTTTTCCCAATGATTCCAGTTATCCAGACATATATTACTGCTTTTCAAATAATTATATTTCTGTTCTCAAACTGATAAGAGGGAAATAAAAAATGAGTGATAGAAAGTCACTGAAATTTCTAGTTAGGAGATGGATAACTTGACTCAAAATAATTGACTTGGATTTTTAAAATTGCCACAAGGTGGCAGAAGTTAGGTTTAAAAGGAAGGTTAACTACGGTACAATAGATGCCCATTATGTTAGCCTGAAGGGTAGTGTATTAAACATAAAAATATTCCAGTGAAGAAATATTTTGGTTCCATTTAATTTCTTGTCTCTTTCCCCTTAGAACTGTTACTGTTAACTATTTTCAAGGGCATTAGCCAGTCCATAGAGAATACTTATCAGAGAGGATTTCCCTTTCTTTCCAAAGAGGCAATTTTGATATTTGCAAATCTCTTTCTGGATAACCATTTTTGAAATTCACCAAATAGTCTCCCTCCAATTCTTTCATATTCATCCCCTTGAGAATGTATATGTACTAGCCAATTTATTTCTGTTAAGATAGTAGTAACATTCCCTTTTTCATTCTTGATTTTAATTATTTGAGGCTTCCTTCTTTTTTTCTTGGACAGCCTGGCTAAATATTAGTCCATTTTGTTGATCATTTCAAAGAACCATAGATTAGAGCAGAAATGAAGATTATAGTAGAAATTAATGAACCTGAGAATAGAAAAACAATAGAGAAAATCAACAAAACCGAAAGTTCTTTGATACATATACTGAAAATCTTTGATCCCCAGTTCTTTTGCCCTGGCCCCAAGTATACCTGAATCTCTTCTCCAGTTCATGGATGATCTCACAGGCTTGTTTTTATGCTTTCCAGAAACCCCTTCACCAGCTTCTACTCACAGCCTATCATATAGGTGAGTAACACTATGTATGCTTCCTTTCTCTTGGAATCTGTTCACACTGATACTCTGCCAGCAGCCCTGGGGTTACTTCTCCACTGGCCTGTACCACTAAAGTTTATAATCTACCATAAACAAAAGAGAAGGTTGACTAGAACTGTGTCTAATATACATCGGAATTACATAATTTTATTCTCGCTTCCAAGCAGGTTCTCTAGCCTAAATGTATAGGCTCTTCCTTTACATATGCTTTTTACCTTACCTTTCCTTTTATCTGCTGATGCTTTTCTTTCCCCTCCTTAGACCTTCATCTGCCTCATCTGGACTGGGGATTTTTTCTTTCAGACCATCCTTAAATGGTGGGGATTCAGGCCACACAAGCGTCCTTGCTCCCAATAATTCAGGTAAATTGAGTAAAATTCCCAAAGGATAGTAGCTTCAACCATTGACAGATATACTAAAACGAAGATTTTTGAGGTGACAGGAAGTTGGGATTTGCCCCCACCCCACCAAAACAGCATTGTTTCCAGTTTTCTGTTTGCCTATTGTTTCCTCTATGCCAAGTTATTATAAAATATGTTGATTTCCCTTTCTGTCTGATAATAGTTGGAGACACAGACTTCCAGCTTACTAAAAAGTACATAAATAATAAAGTATGTCCTTTTATTGCTACTGCAGCTCTACTGGTATTACAAGCTCTAGAATGGTGGAATGGGCAAAGAACACTGCCACTGAGATCAACTATTTATTCTTCTTTAGGTACTAAGATTTTTGAGGTGAAAGGAAGTTGGGATTTGCCCCCACTCCACCAAAACAGCATTGTCTCCATTTTGACTCCTTAATAATCCTTTATCGCATTTCCTTCATAATGAAGGGAGGCTTAGGATTTTGCCTAGCTAGCTTCACCCTGTCACCAGTTGAGTTCTGCTAAGCCAGGTTGACCAGTAGAATTAAACTGGCCTTTTTTTTTTTTTTTTTTTTATGATCCCTATGTTTGAACATTGTTAGGAACTCAGTTCTGAATGAGAATGATAAAACTAGTATCCTATTTTCTCCCCATCTTTTTCAAAAAGGTACCTCAACTACCAGTCCTCTAGATAAGGGGCTGTCATCTTCCATAGCTCATCAATATCTTTATATTGCCCCTGTATCTTTCTACTCATGAACTCAAATCTCAGATCTCTCTGTCCCCACCCATCCTCACAGGAAAAGAATCGATTTTATAACCCACCTCTTAAATTGCTTAGCTAATAGTCTTTTCCCTTCTGAGGAGTGTTCCACAGACTAAGAACTACCTATTTACTCTGATCCACAAGTAACACTACCAAGGAACTGCCCAAGGAAGTTGTCTTTCACCATTCCATTCTATCCTTCAGGTCAGAGGGAGAGCAGAACCCCACTAGAGAGTCTTCCTGCTTTCCAGTTACCAGTCTTGCAGGTAAGCCCTGGCTAGTTTAACTTGTCTGCGTATGAAAAACTCACTGTTAGGCCTGCACACTAAATGCCTCATTCTGATCTCCTGTTAAGGTGGTAGAATGTAACCAGTGGAGAAGGACATGGGTTTCAAGTGTGGTAGCCATATGTACTCAATTTTCCAGAATGGTCTCAGTTTCAAAGATTCTGTCCCAAATTAGCTTCCTGGTTTGGGATTTTTAAATTAGGTAACATAGTAGTGAAAGGCTTTAAACTGAGAGGTCTTGGCCAGGGTGAACTAAGTATATGGACACAATGACATTCCCAATTTTCACAAAAATGTATTCTCAATGGAATATATCTTTTGTGTAGAGGTGCTGCTTGAACTAAGAAAAACCATGTTTATTTCTCCTGGAATAGCTAGAATGTTTTATAAATTTATGGGACTATGATTCTAATCCAAACAAAAAGAGGAAAAGGGCATGGGAACGAGAAGAGGTTTGTAAGGAGCTCTATTCAATGAAAAGTTGTCTTGCCTTTCAAATTAACTTTTATGGCTTAGTTTTTGAGGATATTTAAGCCCTTTTTCCATGCTAAGCTCCTGGTGACCCCAGGGCCATACTAAGGTAGATATTTTGCCCTCATATTCCAAAATTCCCTTTATTTCCATCAGCAGAATATTAGGGTCTATGCCCTAAGAGGCAACACTGGGGAAATAATGTTCCTCTCTAAGATGCTCACAAATGGAGGGATTAACTTACAGAGGAGAAAGACTTAAGAGACATAGAAACCATCTACAAATATATGGGTCCTAATTGGATCGTGATTGAAACTGTAAAAAATTATTTATGAGCAAGTTGATGAAAATTGAATACCTGTTGGACATTTGATATTAAGCATAGTTAACAGTTTTTTTGGAGGTATAATGCTATTGTGGTTACATTTTTAAAAAATCTATCTTTTGGAGGTAAGCACTAAAATGTTTATGGCTAGGAAATTAAATGATTGTCTGGGTTTGCTTTAGTATAATCTAGTGGAGAGGGGCAGTGAGTAGAAATGAAAAATTGGCCATGAGGTATCTGTTGAAGTTGGGTAATGGGTACATGTTGAGTTCATTATATTACTCTACTTTGTATTTTTTAAAAATTTCCCTAATAAAGTTTAAAAAAATGTTATTGAAGAAAGGGCCACCTCCCCAGAGGCATAAGAATTCTGCCTCCCTGGTAATCATCTCTGGGTGTGGTAGTAATACTCCAGGTCTCCCAAAATAGCTTGATTTTTAAGTATTCTGTCTTGTAATCACCAGAAACCACTGAAATATTAGTTTCATGAGTAACAACAAATCCTTTGTTACACTAGATACTAGATACAGCAAATCTTAGTTTAGAAATTAAGTTATCATGTGATGGAGAAAACTATGAGGAAGCAACAGTGGTGGTTTGCTATCCTGATAAACTTCATAAAATGACTTGAGAAAGGGCTTTACTTGCCCTTTGGGTTATAAACATCCTTATCTGCCTTTCTGTCCTTTGCTGCAGACTCTCTATCAACAAAGGCAGATGGGATTAGCCAGGGAGAGAGAAGCGTGGACCACTCCCAGATAGACCATCTTCAAGGTCTGATCTATACATACTGCGGAAGGATGGACTGTAGCATCCAATACCCATTAGGCAATGCTGGCCTTAGAAAATGTACCCAGGCCAGGTTTCCTGGTTTCACTCTGTACTTTCTCTCAGTCTTTACCATATATAACTTGCATTACCTCCTCAGAAAGTGGTCAGGATTTTATATAAGGGTACTGTCTCAGGAAGATGTTTATATTTATCTCAAAGACATATGTAGCTTTTATTTCCTACAACTTGAAACGAAGGTTGTAAAAACAATTCTTGGCATTCTTGGGGTGAGGGGTAATATACTCACTAACTGTGTTTTATTTCTGGATTTCATTTTTTATCTTCAGGTATATTCTCCCATTGCCAGTGTTAATAACCAACAATTCTGTTCCTTATCCTAACTTATACTTTTTTCTATTTGCCTATTGTTTCCTGTATACCAAGTTATTATTAAATATGTTGATTTCCCTTTCTGTCTGATAATAGTTGGAGACACAGACTTCCAGCTTACTGAAATACATAAATAATAAAGCATGCCCTTTTATTGCTACTGCAGCTCTTCTGGTATTACAAGCTCTAGAATGGTGAAATGGGCAAAGAACACTGCCACTGAGATCAAGTATTTATTCTTCTTTGGATACTAAGGGGTAGAAAAAAGGAATTAAATGAGTGGGCCACTGGAAAATGAGTGGGCCATTTTCCCAGAATATTGAGAAAATGTAAAGATAGCAAGCATCTGCCAGAAATAAATTAGGTCTTGGGAATGACCTTGTAGCTGAACCCATTACCCTTTTTGGAACTCTGACTTTATTTTTTAAGGCATTTCTAGACACACCTGTTCTCAGCAAGAGCCTGTGCTGTAGCAGGTGCAGGAAACAATCTGCATAGTGATAGATACTGATCTACTTACTGCCTTTCAAAGTTTTTGTTCCTCTAATTTACCTCAATATAGCCTAAGGTTTCAAAAATAAATAAAAAGTATATATATCAGAATATTAATGCATCTGGCTCCATTAATTTCTAAATCATAGAAGTGGCAAAGTGGAGGAGACAGAAACAATTTTATTTTTGGCCTTTTTATTATTATTCTAGCAATTCGGAGCTTCCACTTTTGTTTCTAGATGGTTAACCCATTGATATCTTTATATCTGACCCCCTGATGAAAACCATTCTAAAACATCAATAAATTCAGTTAAAGGCCTGGTCCCTCTGCCTCAAGACAGATCCTGTAGAGAGGTCTGTCTTCTGGATACAAGCTGAACCAACACCAAAAAGATGAAAAATCAGTCTCTGTCAAGCTAGGCAGGAGGGTCAAGTTTGTAAAACCAAACCTGGAACCTACCTGCAGTTCTCTGAACAGTAGAAACCATTTCCTCTCCTCTATCCCTCTGTAACCTAATTCTACTTTTTTTAAAGGACATCTCCCCTAATTCCCACCTCAAATAAATATCCAGTCTAAATTATTCTCCATCTAGTTATTAAACTTTTTCACAAGCTCCATGGGGAAGATTTACCCTGAGACATAGTGAGCAGAATGGGAATTGTGGAAAGAGATAAGAAGGTTCAAGGCAAAGTAGTCCCAGTATCAGAAACGAAAACATTGTTTCCTGTGTAACTCAATAATGAAGCAGGTAAAATATATCAAGTCAAGGTGGTATAAGGAAGAGGAAATATTTATGACACTGGAACATACTGATATTCTTAGCTCCATGATGCATGGACTTGTGCTGAGAGAAGAGGGGAGCAAGGCAGCATTATATTCCAGGAAAGTGGTGGGACTAGGGGATGCACTGGAATCATTGGTTGAATCAAAATTCTTTACTCCTGCTTCCCAATCCTCCTATCGACATGGTCTCTCTGTAGTCCACTAAGGGAAAAGGACAGCAGATATGAGGACAGCAAGAGCCTTTACCCAGCTCAAAATTTGGACCAGACCCTTAGCACTCTCTTCATTGAGTCTAGAGGTCTGGATTTCTGCCCATTCAATCCCTACCTCACTTTGTGTCCTACGCTCATCCTCCCTGGTCCACTCTTGCTACATCCCTGTCCCCCAACCTCAAGAACACAAAGCTTTTCAAGTTCTTTGCCACAAAGTAATTTTTAAAATGTGGTTTGTTTAAACAGTTACTAAGTTGGTTCATCTTTTAGTAACAGACCTCCTCTCCCATAGCCCCCCGTTCAGTCCTGTATGATCACATCTTCATCGCTGTCATCGTCTTCCTCCTCCTCCTCTTCTTCATCCTCATGATCTGGCAGTTCTTCCTCCTCTTCTTCCTCCTCTTCGTCTAGACAAACCACCACCTCAGCTGGCTCAGGTAACCGAGAATCAAACCAGTCCAGTACCTGCTGGGTGCTAAGCCTTGATGCCTGACTCAGTTGAGGGATATCACTTTCCCAGAGCTGTTGGTGGGCTGCCCAGTACTTCTCCAAGGGCCGTATATCCGGTGCAGGTGGGGGTATCGGCAGAGGTGGTGTCTCAGCCCATTCATTCAAGGAACGGGTTGAAAGTGGTGGTGTGGGAATTGCTGGGTCCTGGAAACTGGGGATACCAGGTACTGCATTGTCCCGAAACCATTTTAGTTGCCCATGCTTCAAGGCATAGCGTGTGTCACCAAACCACTGAATGATCTCAGGCCGGGGTAAACCAGTGATCTGTTCTAATTTATGGTAATCCTCACGCCGTGCCCACTGGCACTGTAAAAAAAATGATTTGAGGATAGCCAGCTGCTCTTTGGTTTTGCGCTTGGTCTTTCGCTGGCGTTGTGTATCTGGGGAAAGGTACTCTGCAGGGCCAACCCTACCTAGTACTGAGTTATGTCTTAGCCTCTGGGGCCAGACTGGCTCCACATGTGGGGGTAGTGCCTGTTCAGTGGGTGACAGTGGCTGTGGGATACAGCCCAGTGGCTGGAGGGGTTTAGAGGTGGCTGTAGCTCCATTAGCCAGTACCTGGAAAGAGGAAGAAGAGGTAGAAGAAGAAGAAGGAGTCACATTAGATGCTGACCCCTGCTTACAACTACTGGCAAGTAATGAGACTGGTGGGGGCTTATCCCGAGTACATGGCTGGTGGGTAGCTGTGGAGTGGTTCCAGGAAGCAGTACCTAGGTCATGTGACTGGCCAGGACCCCTGCCTGCCTGCTCCTTAGAGAAGCCACTGCTTTGAAGATCCTGCCAAAATTCTGATTGGTGGGAGAATGCCCTACTGCCAGGTGCCATCAGGGGATCCTTTGTTTTGTGGTGACTCAGTGGCTCTGGGGATTCCTTGGGTTCTACCTTCAATTTTTTCATCTGGGTAGGCTCAGTAAGAGTCAGGGGCACTTTTCCAAGACTAACTTGTTCTGGAGGTGGCATTGGAGAAGGAGGCACCTCCTCTGGGGGCCGCCCTGCATGATGAGTAAAAGAGAGAAGGGATTTGAAATGGAGTTGGTCCCTGTGATAGACCACCCGGGCTCGAGTCTCTTCTATTTCTTCAGATGACCAGCTAATGCCACAGCGGAGGCGCTGGGCCATGAACCAAGTCTTGACTTTCTCCATCTGCAACCCATAGCGTAGGCAGAGAAGGGCAATGTCTGCTAGACTTGGGTAGGGAAAGTAGCTGAAGGTTTGTAGCAGGTGTTCATTGCCATCCAGCTCACTGGTCTGGGCTGCTTGGGTCCACACAAGCTGGAGCTCCTCGGAGATTGGAGGGAGGCAGATGAGCCCCGTAGGGGAGGTATTAAGACTGCTGGCCTCTTTATTAGGAGGCATGATGTTTTCTGATTTGTGCCCTTCAGAGATAGCTGTAATAAGAAAAACAGCTCAATCATTGGGGTTCCTTTTTTGGCCCATCGTTCAATTTCTACCAAACAAAATGTTGGACTCCAAAACAATCAACTTTCTATGTGTACTGTGCTGTTTTGCTTTTAAAGTGTTTTAACAATTTCTCATTTAGTTTTCATAACCTTATGAGTCATCAGTCTGCTAAAATTCCCATTGTATGAGAAAACCAAAGTCCATAGAAGTTATATGACCCCAAGTCACATGACTAGTGAGTGTTGTCACCAAGACAAAAATCTGTCTTTAGAAGGAAAACATCCTTATATAGCCTTTACCTTTCCAATTCAAACTCATTTCACTAAGTTCATGGAACAAGTCACAAAATGAAGGCTCAGCAACAAAAACAAGAGGAGCACTAATCTCCGAACAACAGCTAAATGCTTTAGCTCCTAACAATTTATTATCTCTAGAATATGGAGATAGGATGGGAATACAACGCATGAGAATCTGGAAGGTAGGACAGCACTGTTCCTCTGCCCAGAACCCAGCCCCCTTTTCTTTCCCTTCTTGGTGGTAGAAGCTGAGGGGAGTGGAATGGATAGGACCTTTAAACCTTAAGCCCAAACCTGGTTTTAGTTTTTCTTTCTCAGCAGGATGTAAGATAGGTCAGATATCTGGGCTACATGGGGCTTATCCCTCCCAGGGTTTAGGTCCCTGTGGGTAGAAAGAGGGGAATGTTTCCTCCCACAAGTCATCCTCAGAACAAAGGTTATCCATCCACCCCCCAACCCCCCAACCCTCACCCCCACNAAATATGTTGATTTCCCTTTCTGTCTGATAATAGTTGGAGACACAGACTTCCAGCTTACTAAAAAGTACATAAATAATAAAGTATGTCCTTTTATTGCTACTGCAGCTCTACTGGTATTACAAGCTCTAGAATGGTGGAATGGGCAAAGAACACTGCCACTGAGATCAACTATTTATTCTTCTTTAGGTACTAAGATTTTTGAGGTGAAAGGAAGTTGGGATTTGCCCCCACTCCACCAAAACAGCATTGTCTCCATTTTGACTCCTTAATAATCCTTTATCGCATTTCCTTCATAATGAAGGGAGGCTTAGGATTTTGCCTAGCTAGCTTCACCCTGTCACCAGTTGAGTTCTGCTAAGCCAGGTTGACCAGTAGAATTAAACTGGCCTTTTTTTTTTTTTTTTATGATCCCTATGTTTGAACATTGTTAGGAACTCAGTTCTGAATGAGAATGATAAAACTAGTATCCTATTTTCTCCCCATCTTTTTCAAAAAGGTACCTCAACTACCAGTCCTCTAGATAAGGGGCTGTCATCTTCCATAGCTCATCAATATCTTTATATTGCCCCTGTATCTTTCTACTCATGAACTCAAATCTCAGATCTCTCTGTCCCCACCCATCCTCACAGGAAAAGAATCGATTTTATAACCCACCTCTTAAATTGCTTAGCTAATAGTCTTTTCCCTTCTGAGGAGTGTTCCACAGACTAAGAACTACCTATTTACTCTGATCCACAAGTAACACTACCAAGGAACTGCCCAAGGAAGTTGTCTTTCACCATTCCATTCTATCCTTCAGGTCAGAGGGAGAGCAGAACCCCACTAGAGAGTCTTCCTGCTTTCCAGTTACCAGTCTTGCAGGTAAGCCCTGGCTAGTTTAACTTGTCTGCGTATGAAAAACTCACTGTTAGGCCTGCACACTAAATGCCTCATTCTGATCTCCTGTTAAGGTGGTAGAATGTAACCAGTGGAGAAGGACATGGGTTTCAAGTGTGGTAGCCATATGTACTCAATTTTCCAGAATGGTCTCAGTTTCAAAGATTCTGTCCCAAATTAGCTTCCTGGTTTGGGATTTTTAAATTAGGTAACATAGTAGTGAAAGGCTTTAAACTGAGAGGTCTTGGCCAGGGTGAACTAAGTATATGGACACAATGACATTCCCAATTTTCACAAAAATGTATTCTCAATGGAATATATCTTTTGTGTAGAGGTGCTGCTTGAACTAAGAAAAACCATGTTTATTTCTCCTGGAATAGCTAGAATGTTTTATAAATTTATGGGACTATGATTCTAATCCAAACAAAAAGAGGAAAAGGGCATGGGAACGAGAAGAGGTTTGTAAGGAGCTCTATTCAATGAAAAGTTGTCTTGCCTTTCAAATTAACTTTTATGGCTTAGTTTTTGAGGATATTTAAGCCCTTTTTCCATGCTAAGCTCCTGGTGACCCCAGGGCCATACTAAGGTAGATATTTTGCCCTCATATTCCAAAATTCCCTTTATTTCCATCAGCAGAATATTAGGGTCTATGCCCTAAGAGGCAACACTGGGGAAATAATGTTCCTCTCTAAGATGCTCACAAATGGAGGGATTAACTTACAGAGGAGAAAGACTTAAGAGACATAGAAACCATCTACAAATATATGGGTCCTAATTGGATCGTGATTGAAACTGTAAAAAATTATTTATGAGCAAGTTGATGAAAATTGAATACCTGTTGGACATTTGATATTAAGCATAGTTAACAGTTTTTTTGGAGGTATAATGCTATTGTGGTTACATTTTTAAAAAATCTATCTTTTGGAGGTAAGCACTAAAATGTTTATGGCTAGGAAATTAAATGATTGTCTGGGTTTGCTTTAGTATAATCTAGTGGAGAGGGGCAGTGAGTAGAAATGAAAAATTGGCCATGAGGTATCTGTTGAAGTTGGGTAATGGGTACATGTTGAGTTCATTATATTACTCTACTTTGTATTTTTTAAAAATTTCCCTAATAAAGTTTAAAAAAATGTTATTGAAGAAAGGGCCACCTCCCCAGAGGCATAAGAATTCTGCCTCCCTGGTAATCATCTCTGGGTGTGGTAGTAATACTCCAGGTCTCCCAAAATAGCTTGATTTTTAAGTATTCTGTCTTGTAATCACCAGAAACCACTGAAATATTAGTTTCATGAGTAACAACAAATCCTTTGTTACACTAGATACTAGATACAGCAAATCTTAGTTTAGAAATTAAGTTATCATGTGATGGAGAAAACTATGAGGAAGCAACAGTGGTGGTTTGCTATCCTGATAAACTTCATAAAATGACTTGAGAAAGGGCTTTACTTGCCCTTTGGGTTATAAACATCCTTATCTGCCTTTCTGTCCTTTGCTGCAGACTCTCTATCAACAAAGGCAGATGGGATTAGCCAGGGAGAGAGAAGCGTGGACCACTCCCAGATAGACCATCTTCAAGGTCTGATCTATACATACTGCGGAAGGATGGACTGTAGCATCCAATACCCATTAGGCAATGCTGGCCTTAGAAAATGTACCCAGGCCAGGTTTCCTGGTTTCACTCTGTACTTTCTCTCAGTCTTTACCATATATAACTTGCATTACCTCCTCAGAAAGTGGTCAGGATTTTATATAAGGGTACTGTCTCAGGAAGATGTTTATATTTATCTCAAAGACATATGTAGCTTTTATTTCCTACAACTTGAAACGAAGGTTGTAAAAACAATTCTTGGCATTCTTGGGGTGAGGGGTAATATACTCACTAACTGTGTTTTATTTCTGGATTTCATTTTTTATCTTCAGGTATATTCTCCCATTGCCAGTGTTAATAACCAACAATTCTGTTCCTTATCCTAACTTATACTTTTTTCTATTTGCCTATTGTTTCCTGTATACCAAGTTATTATTAAATATGTTGATTTCCCTTTCTGTCTGATAATAGTTGGAGACACAGACTTCCAGCTTACT